CGGAGGAGGGCTTTCTCTGCAGTGGTGCCCAATCTATGGAATGCGCTTCCCAGAGTGGTCCGCCTGGTGCCGTCGTTATTTGTTTTTTGGCGCCAGGCAAAGACCTTTTTATTCAAACGCTATTTTAATTGTTAATTTTATTTATTTATTTATTGGCCAGGTCGACTCAAATTGTATTGTTTTATATTGTGTTTGTTTATTATTGCGAGCCGCCCCGAGGCTTCGGTGAATGGGGCGGCATAGAAGCTTCCTAAATAAATGAGAACAATGCCAATAAATCCATTTCAGTTCCAGGGTGTGACAACATGTGGAACAGACATAAGGGAAATAAATATTTCTGCAAGTTACTGTCTTTTGGGATGGGGAAGAAACAGCATGAGAGCCAACGAAGGCACCAACAAAGTGGTGGTTGTGGGGAAAAGGGGACATGACCATCTGAATGGGAACATGACCAATATACTGCTGTGAACTACCCGGAGTCCAGCTGTTGGGTAATATAGAAAAAGATAAATAAATGCTGGGACTTCAACTTCTATGGGCTACCAGATTAGGGAAAAGGCTACACTAATTTAACCAATCAAAAGACCCTTGATGATCATTTCTGAATATTGAGGACTGTTACCATGAATAGCTAGCTGTATGCAAAAGTAATTGAGGCAAGGAACCTCCCTGAAACTATTAAGGAGTTGGAGGTAAGCTTTCGTTCCCTTTGTTTTGACTCGACTATAGCCTGTGAGCAATTGAAAATTGTATGCCTTGTGTGAAACCCTGTTATTTTCTAGGAATTTGCCCAATTGTTTGTTCTTTATGCTTGAGATTTCTCACACTGTTATGTCTCAGTTCCGAAAATAAGCCTAGGGTTTGCTGACTTCCATTATAACTCCTTAGTAGCATGATTCCCTACTCTAATCTCATGCTACACTCATGTTTGCCTAAAGTAGGCATGGGCAGCCTTGAACCTGGGAACAAATCTGACTTTCCTGGGTCCCCGTCCATTACTCCATAGTTCCCAGAGGTCCAAGAGAACCAAAAAGGTTGCATTCTCCTGTCTCCAGTCATAGATCATCATCCAGGGTGACCAAAGTTGTTTCTATGCCAAAACCAGGCCTGAACCCCAACTGAAATGGATCCAGATAATCTCATCCAAGAGTTCCTAGAGCTGGCTGGTTCCAGAACCTTCCTCAGGAAAGGGATGTTTGCCACCAGCCTAAAATAGTTGCATTCTTCTGGGTCCACAGAGCTTTTCTTCAGGCATGGTCTCACCACTGTTTGTTTCAGGTGGCCAGGGGACCACTCCTTCTTTTAAAGAAGCATTAATCACCTCCAGGGCCCAGCTAGCAGTTCCTTCCCTACTGGCTTTCATAAGCCAAGATGGGACAAGGAACCAGCACAGGCAGGGTTCCACGAACCTGTCCAAGCACCTTGTTAAGATCCTCAATCTGTATTAACTAGAATTCATCCAAAACAACTGTGCCCTAGATATCTCACCCGATACCACTGCTATAACATTCAGGTTCAATTTCTTTCTACATGAGATCTGTCCTTGAAGTGCCTAGTATTACAGCAGGCTTCAGATGGCTCTAAGAGGTCCTTGGGGCCAGCATAGAATAGAACCCACCCAATTCTGGAGCGTTCTGCTGGGTGGCAAATGGAAGATTGAATAGAAGCAGTCAGATCTTGCTTCTTTGCTGATCTCACCGCCTTCAAATATATTCAAGTATAAGCACATAATAGGGCTCAATTGTATTCACTATGAGTTTTTCTCCATCTGCACTCAAGCTGTCTCAACTACAATGAAGGTGCTCAGGAGTGATTGTGTCAACTGACTGGATCATCTCTGGATTCCAGAGATGGTGCCCGGCAGAAGTTGGGACTCCCAGCATTTCTAACCCCCAGCCATGTTAATTAGGGTTAATGAGAACTGAAATCCAAAACTGCTGGAGGGAAGGCTAGGTCAGTGTTTGACCATGCTAAACTAGCAGGCAGGTTAAGAAATGCCAGGATTCCCCTGCCCACGTTTTTGCTAGTATGTATAATGGGCTAATTTAAAAGATACTCTCCCGGATTAGATTATGACAGGGCACTCATGTGGGTATTTGCAAGTTTTCCCTGGTCACAAGGAAATACCCCTTTTAATTCAAGGCACTGTGTGGCTCTTAAAAAATAGAGGTTTCAAGAGCCTTAGTGCTGGTAGAAACTAATTAGGCAGAAACTCCTTGTTCAAAACTGGTACTTGAACCAATCTGTAAGGATTATGTTCAATAAATAACACATGAACAGAAAGGCAGCACATCTGAAGCTGTTCTGTGACAGCACATACCTGCAACCCATTTCCTACAGCCAGATCAATCAATCAGGCAATGTTCTGTATGTTGTATTAAATAGTACCTCACCCAGCTGGCCTTTTAGCTTCATAACTGATTTGACTCTGATCCTGTTTATTTACAGAGCTGAGTATTTGAAGGTGTATCATATCTAACACACTCTTTCTGCTTGCTGCAAACATGCTATTTTATCTAGCCTTTTGGCATTATCATTTTCCTCACAATATTTCTCATGTAGTTTAAAGTATATTTCCATACTTTAAAAATGACACATTAGAAATTTCACTTTTTGAGCATAAGAACAGTAATTTGTAGTTGGGAAAATGCAATTATTTTCACTCTGTGTCTCCTAGGTAGTAAACTATTTGTGTTTCGCAAGAAGAGAAAGTAAGATTTCAACTGACTGAACAGTCATAATTTCTTCCCAAGGCATCTTAATTCTGGGAGGAGGAGAGCTAGGAATTTAAAAGCATTGAGCACAACTTCTAAGATAAGGAGCAATTTAATCTAATGTAATCTTCAAAACCTTCACAAAATTATTTTTCAGTTTTCTATGGAAGAAGCTAAAAACAGTTATAACTGTAAGGGCACAAGCCCACAACCATTAGATGCTGCTTAGCTGGTCAAGGGAGAGGTAAGACTTTGGAAACATGCTGCAAACTTGAAGTTGTAACTTCCTCCACCCTCACCAGTGTGATTCTTTCTGTACTAGCTGTGGCTCCAAGGATGGATGACCACCATGTCTGGTGAGCATTCCAGGGAGAGTGAGACTCTAGTGAGATATAATGCATACTGGTGGTACCTCAGTCCATCCTCCATGTGAGTCAGAGCACAAGACTCAAATGGCTGAAACTGGTTAAGTCTTTTTGCAGAAGGGCAAAGGCAACTGCCTTCACCTCTGCAGTCCTCTGACCTTTGACAGGATGCTAGTAATCCTCCAAGTTCAGGGTGTTATAAATAGCACATTGAATGGTATTGTAAATAGAAAGCAGGCATGTGCATTAAGACAGGATGAATGTACCCAAAGTTTTGTGGGACTTTTACAGCAACACAACCAACATTATGGAGTATTTTATTTCTCTTGGATGATGGACTGTATTAACTTGCCTTTTCAAATGTCAGTAGATATACTGGAAGCACAAATGTTTTGTTGACAGTAATAAATCTAGAGATGACAATACCCACATAATATGCAGGCAGGCAGTCAGGAAAGGTTTTGGACAAAATATGTGAGGTGTTTTGCTGCTGATTCCTCCTTCCCTTAGTTTGATTAGACTCTCCCAACCCCCACCAAAAAAAAAAAAAAAAAAACCCTTTAAAAACTCAGCCTGTCCAGAACAAAGAAAGATTTGATAACTAGTATCAGGAAAAAAGTTTGAACTCTGAACCCAAAAACGCACTTCAAAATAATACTTTGCTAGCACAAGCATTTTCTAGATGCAGATTGTGTCTGTAAACTGAAGTGTTGTACAATCCTGGCACCAAGGGGTTGTATATTCTCAATCAAATTTAGGATTTCTCAATTTTTTCCAAACTTTGATAATAGTTTCCATGAACTTCACCACTTTTCATAACTGTACATAACTCTCAGAGCATTGACAAATAAGCTGCTTGAATGGAAGAGATTTCCAGTAGTGAAACCCACTACACAGAGCCTTTCAGCTAGAAAGACGAGCGGAATGCAAAGCTTTCACTTCCTGTGTAGAAACTGAAAAGTCACGATATATACCACTGTCCCCACAGGCTTGATTAACAGCAAGTAGGGAAACTCTTTTGAAACACATACACAAAGAGACATATGAAATGGCTGATTTTATTTGGCCAAAGAAGGACAAAAAGGTTAAACCGCTTAATTCTACTCAAAAGGAAGTGCTACTGAGTTCATTGAGCCTACTCTCACGTGTGTACTTATCTGCAACTACTGTAGTGTTACACTACACATGCATGCATGCGCGCGCACAAAGACGGGCGCGCGCGCGCGCTCCTTAGCTTACAATCTGCGAGCGTCCTGTACCATCCAGTCGGGCCGTTTGGCAAGAGTATCGTTGGCTGCTGTACATCTGCTAAACCGGAAGGAGAGAGAAAATGGGGGACGAGATCATTTCATTTCCACACAGAAGTTTCGGGCAGCGAACCGAAAGGAGTCCAGCTAATAGGCGTACTTCAGGAAGCGCGGGCGGAACCTCCGTCCAGAACTGAAGCCCAAATGCGATAGTTCCCACAGACGCACACGCCGCTCGCGACCACCGGCGGACGGCTTCGCTCCGCACGCGCTCCCGCGCGTCCCCTCCGCGCTCGCCCGTCCTGCGCCCAGCGGCTGCTCGAGCCGCGCCGCCCGCTTCTCTGCCTCGCTGACTCCTCCTTCCCCCTTCCCGCTCTGTCCCAGGGCTGACATCACACCCGGGGTTTCCATCGGACGAGGGGAGGGGGGGAGGAGGAGGAGGAGGCTGTACTGAGCGGCGGCGGCGACAGCGTGATGACGGCGGCGGCCGGGAGGACTTAAAGCAACGGCGACACGCGCCCGCCCGCCCGCTTACCTCGGGCCTTTTCCCGTTTTTTTTTAACCCATTCTTTTCCTCCGTCGTCTCCCTTTCTGAGGGATCCACGCATCCCCCCTCCTTTTTTGGCCAGGCCAAGAGGCAGGGCCAGGAGCGGCTGAGGGAGAGTGAAGAGATCCAGGCAGGCCCCGGAGCGCTTTTTCCTCCTCTTCTCCTGTTCGAGGCCCGCCTGCGGCGCTCTGCGCAGCTCGCTTGCTTCGTTTGGGTCCTCGGGAGAGGCCCAGGCAGCCAGCAGGCCTGGCGACGCTCAGGTAAGAGCGGCCCGCCGGAGAGCGAAGTAAAGCCGGTAAGCGGGGCGCGGGTGTTGGGCAGCGCTGCCCTGACCGGCCGGCTGTGGCCGCAGCTTGCCTGGGCGCCTTGAGCAGGCCGCAGCGAGCCAAGAAGGGCGGAGAGAGGGGGGGAAAGGGAGGGAGAGAGAGGGAGGAAGCCTTCGGCCCAGCGAGCTGGAAGTCGAGGCGCGGGCTCCGGCCTGAAGGAAGGAAGCGAGGAAGGGAAGGAAAGGAAAGGCCCAGCCTGGGTTCTGCGCTCGCGTGGAAAGCACACTTCAGGTGGGTGCCTTGCAGAAGGGCTATTTAAGGGGAATATGGGGCGAGAGGGAGGAAGAGGTGCCTCTTTTGTTCAATAGCCGCCAGGACCTGTGCCTCAGGGTACTAGCCTGCCTGCCCTGCCCAGCCACCCTCCCGCCCTTCGTCCAGTAGAGACCCGGGCAGGGCGAACATGTTGCTCTCTTAGCCTCGGATACTGCTTTTTCAGCTTTCCCCCGCCATCTCCCTTTGTTTACCAGGCGGCTGAGGGGAGGCGGTTATGAGAGGCGCAAGGAGGCTTTCGCAAGCGGGCGAGGGGAAGACTGCGGCAGGCCTCGAAAGAAGCGGCGGCACTAAATAATAAAAAAGGCGCCCTGCAAGGAGCACTAAGAGACACCCACCACGCTAAGGGGGAATCGGAGGGAGGGGAGAAAGCCCATTTGTTTTGGCACCCACTAAATCCACGAGGCCCGCTCCTCATTGGCTGACAGGCTAGCTATCAGGGACTCTGTGCGGTGCTTTCCTGCTGCTCTGAACAGTGGCCCCGCCTTTTGCTCAGGTTCCCTAAAAGATTTAAAAAAAAAAAAAAAAAGCTTTCGTGCATAATTTAGCTGACTGACGCATGTGGATAATGATCTTCTGTGCAGTGGAACTCCTGAATTTGCTGGTATCGTGCCCGAAGAGGTAGTAAGGAAGCTAGTTTCCTGTGCAGCAGCTAGAATTGGTCTTGTACTTGGAACCAGCCAACCACACTGCTCCCCCAGCCTTGGGGGGCTGCCTTCACAGTGTAATCCTAAGCATTCCCCACTCCAGTAACTCTTTGAATTGAATGTCACTTACTTCCAGGTACCTATGCAGGTTAATGTGTATAGGATTGCAATAGTATCTCTTATTTATATAGTTTCTGTAGACCAGGTATTGATTAGATGAGACTTCACTTTGTTAAAATTTAGTTCTGTGCATATTTTCTTATAGCACGTGGATTATAAGGTTAATGGGATGGGGCATGCATCTTATCACATATTGCTAGTGCTACCAATTTATAAAATAAGTAATGTATGTATATGGTTTATAGCATATCCTGTGCATATTTACATATTTACTTAAGGTAGTGGGATAAAAAACTTCGAGTGAAGAAATAATAAGGCCCACCATGTTCAGTAAGATTTATTCCTAGGAAATGTATCTAGGATTTCAGCCTAAGTGTCACTGGATATAAGGACTGCTACAGAAATAAGTCTCAGCCTGCATCAATGGTGTTCCCTTACTTTCTGTTGGCAGTGCCACTAATGCTTTTACTCATTTGATCAAAGAGTAATGAAAAGCTTTAATTTAGCTTTACTTGCGTATGAAGCTGAATTGCCCAAATATTTCTGACCTTGCCTTATAGAAGAAACTCCGTTTGCAGTGTTCAGTGCCCAGTGAGGAAACTGGGGGCCAAATCTCCACTCTGACCTTGGGTCAGGTTAACCTACTTTACTGGGTTGTGAAATTTTGTTTATTTATTAGATGTGTATTCCAACTTTTTCTGTTTTAAAGAACTCAAGGAACTTATTCACTTCCTCCTGTTCTCAGTCTTATCCCCACAACAGCTACCCTGTGAGATAGGTTGGGCCGAGAGTCTGTGACTGGCTCAGAGTCACCCAGTTGGCTCCATGCCTGAGCAGGGACTAGTACCCAGATAACCTGAGTCCTGAACCTGTGCTGTTAACCAATGTAGCATACTGGCTCTGGAAGGTGGAAAAAGAAAGGCAGAATATAACTGTAGCAAATCGCAAATCTCATGTGCTCCAGCTGGTTTACTGTAGTATATACAGTTTTTTTCAGATACAATATTTATTTAAAATAAATTTTATCATTTGTCTTTTTAAAGGTCATTTGGGCAAAAATCATGAACTGCTGAATGCAGTAGAACAACTTGCAAGTGAAATATTTGGAGTGCTAGGAAGAAGACACTCAAGTGGACATTTTATATCCAGCTTGAAAACTGGACAAACTCTTATTTATATTTTTATCTTGCTGAATACTTAAAATGAATGGACACAGTGATGAAGAAAGTGCAAGGAACAGTAGTGGCGAATCAAGGTATGAATGTAAAAGGCTTTTGGTATTCAGCAGTTTTCTTATCTTTTGTAAAAGTTAAATCTTTACAAAAATAATTTATTTTGACCAAACATACTTATTCATTCATAGATTCATTCCCGTTAAAACAAATTAAAATCACTTACAAATAAGAGTGTGTAAGAAAGGACCTGGTCTGGATTCTAGTAAATCCACCTATGGAGACTAATGGAAACAATAGAAACTTACATTCGAATAAGCATGTCTTTGTATCAGAAGTATACTGAAGTCCAGATAGGCTGGGGCAAACTACCTGTTGCTTACATATTTGCTTATATATGGCTAAATAGTCACCATATTTTGTCATAGGCAGGACTCTGCTTCTTTGTCACAGTCTTTATTTCTTATCTTTGCTTTTGGTATCACGGACATTGTTTGTCCCGCTTGTGTTAGCGATGAGAGGAAAGGGGTACTGTCCCCAAATTTTCATGAAACAAAAAATGGTTAGAGCTAGGGTGATGCTGAAGTCAAAGGAACTCATTCCCAGGCTTTCCATACCTCCTTGTTTGGTATGCCTATAATCCACATTTCAGGTAGCTTAACTCTGTGTGTGCCTTAGCTTGTACTATAGTGTTGTACTGGCAATTTTGTATGAACATGTTAAAAATACAGGTAAGGAAAATTAATCTAGGAAATTACCCTGAGAATCATTCAGTAGTTGTCTTTTTAAGGACATTGTTCACTGATCATATGAGATTGTTTGTGTGTAGACTCTCAGTGTGAAGTAGAACATAGTAACTTCAGACTTACTTACAGTTGTGAATTACCCATTCTTCATGATAAAGTCAAAAAACCTAGACTGCAATTCTATACTGCCTTCTCCCTGAGTAAATACAATGGAATTCAGTTAGCCTTAATCATGAGTAGGCATATTGATTGCTCTGAACATATCACACACTTCTACTAGTCTGTTCATACATAGCATGCTGTGGGGTTGTTATAAATGAGGTATCAGAACTGTGGTCAGCAAAGGCTGTCTCTTTTCACATGATTCTCAAATAAAAAATATAGCTTAAATCCAGTGTTACACAAACAAGCTTCTGCTCATAGAACAGGACTTCTCCTTGCTTTTCTGTTGTCTGCATCCCTCTCATATGCCTTCTGGATCAGATCCAGAGGTCCTTCAACCTTGTATGTATAGGTATGTATTCAAAACACAACACATGTGTACCATAAAAGACCTGTTTAGTGCAGCATCATCTTTGCTACATAGCTGCCTAGCCCTCACTCACTATTCCCAGTCAGTATTTATTTATTTTTATTTATTTAAAACATTTCTATGCTGCCCCCATCGCAACAAGGCCTCGGGGCGGCTCACAAAGAATACATAAATAATAACAATACAACAAATTTTTAAAAAAATGTTTAAAAACCCCCAGTGCATTCTCAGCTAAAAATTTAAAATCCTATTAATTAAATAATTTAACAGTTAAAATAAGTTTTAAATAAAAGGTCTTAGCCTGGCGCCGAAAAACAAATAACGACGGCGCCAGGCGGACCTCTCTGGGGAGAGGTATTTCTCCCTCTAAATACAGTAGCTGGTATTTAGTGACAAACTGCCTCTGAACCTGAATTAGCTTTCCTAGTCAGATGCCATGATACAGCCTGTCCTTAGTGAATGTATCTTATGATTTGAAGCCATATAAGGCAGGTGCCATTGCAACATCCTATGGGAGAGGATTCCATAAAGTACGTTGTATAAATTAGTTTTTAATTTTGCCAGTCTTGAATCTACAGCCAGTTTGTCTGCAGTTAAGCCTTTTGTGGCTGCTACCTGTGTGCCCAGGTTCCTGTAGCACACAGGTAGCAGCCAAAATTTTGGGCGAGATCATCGTTTCAGTACCCTCCTGTCAAAAGTTTGTTAGCAAGAGAGGGCTTTCAACACAAGCGATGGCTTTCAAGGTGGCTGCTCTCATGCTGTGGACTAGGAATGCTCCCTCTTTGCTGTCATTCTGCCAGCAGGCAAATACACCTTTATTCATCCAGGCCTTTGGGGCATAAAAGCTCCTCTGCCAGTGTTGATTATTATTGCTTTTTACTGCATTATAGTGTATTTTTATTATTATTGTCAGCTGCCATTAGTGGCATTTTTCTTGGTGGAAAGGTGTGGCACAAATCAAATAGTTTTAGCTGTGTCAGAGCACTCACATGTATATTTTGTACCTGGCAAATTAATTTACCTCTTTGTTTTGATTGGTGTATGCAAACTGGAGGATTCACATAAACCATAGCTATTCAAGTATGAACACCTGTGCCATCATGATGGTAGTTTGGTTTGTGGGCAGCAGATCCCAACTTGTAGCATTTGCTGAAACAACCTGAACTCCTGAGTGAGGCTTGGTACTACCTCTTTCTGCAGCCCGCTGAAATATGGGATAGAAGTTACCCAAATGCCTTCTCCTACCCCAGCCTGCTAGGTGTAGATTGGCATTTCTCAAAATAGATCCAAAAATTATTCTCACTAGAAGTTTAATGTGGGTTCATTTGTGTAGCTTGGATTATGCTTTGTGTTAAAAGTTTTGATAAAGTAGTTGTTTACTTTTGTACTTGGTGGATAGTTACATTTTTTTTTTTTAATTTGCCATAGTGATGGAATTCATGACAGTTTTCCAGTTGTTGGAAACATCAGGGTCACCAAATTTGTTGAAGCAGTCACAGTTTTTTTGTTTTTAATCAAGTCACCCTTCTATAATGATGTTCTCTGTGTTAACAATACTGGCTGTCTGCTTTTCTTCTTTATTCAGCTATTTTCTTAGATGCTTTTCTGAAAGAACTTGTCAGAAAGTTGAGAAGAAGTAAATGTAATAGACTGAGTTTGTCATGTTGGTGATTTCTCACCTGTGGGAGAGTCACCTTAAATGACCTCCAATTTCTTTAAGTACTTCATAGGGAAATGTTACTTTAAAGCTGTCTGAGAAGGAAGCTGTCAGCATCTTTGTGACATCATCAGCTTACCCTTCTGTCCAAGCCCTCTCCTCACAGATATTTGTATTCTAGTGGGAATGCATACGAGTATCCTCAGGATAAGATTGGAGAAGAGATGAGAATGATACAGATAGACTAGGCATTAGATAGAGGAAAGGGGAATTGAGGGAATGAGGTATGGACAAAACTGGAGCAGGAACTGGAGTTTGAATAGGGAGTAGGGAGAAACACGAAGAACCAAGAACAGTAGGTGAGGACTGTAGGAGGCAGCTGCCAAGAGAAAGGAAGTGGAGGCAAAGCAGTTAGGAAGAGAGCAAGGAACTTGGATCTTTCTCTTGCTCACCCACATTCTAATACATGTTCTCTCCATTTGGTGGGTATCAGGTGCCATAATACTGTGGTTAAGAGGCTGCACTATGATATATTAAGGCCCTGGTTTGAATCTCCTCTGCCATGAATTCACAAGGTGGCCTTAAGTAAGTAAGCCACTGTCCTTACAGACTGGAAAGAGTACATATCTGTATGTGAATCACTCTTAACACTAAAGTGTGATATAACTACTTGTTACACAAGTGTTAACTTATCCATACATTAACATGTTTCCAGTGGGCTAATCAGTAAAGGTTTAATTGAACCTATGAGAAATAGGAATCAACTATGAATATATCATTTGTAATCAGATAAGTGTTTGGAAGTTTACAAAAATACTTTAATAAATTAGTAAATGTTTTAAAATATTATTTCAAGTATTTACAAGTGCAAATGGCACTTACCATTTTAAAAGGAATATCTCATCTAAGAATGAAGTTTGCTACTTAAATATAGTTTAATTATAGCAATTAATCAAGCAATTAGTCAACTAAAACCCATATGATTTATCAACTATTTAGCAGTAGCCTGAGTAACATAATGTGTGTCATTTCAAAGAATACGTTTATTGGCCTTGGAACTACTCTTTTGCCTATCCTTAAATTGATTAGAGATTTTCCATTTACCTTGAAATTAAGCAAATTGCAACATACTTCATTTCTTTTGTTTGTTTGTCTAAGGCCTGTTTAAGAATGCATTAATGACGTATAAATAAGTTATTCCTTTCTATTAGCATGCTGATTTTTCCTGCGTACAGACTGGTATAATCCAGATGAGTTGTAATTACTTCTCTGCTTACATAAACTACTCTGCTATAAAGTAATTACATAAACTACATAAACTGTTTGAACCCAAACAGTTTGACTTATAGTTGATTCACATGTGCCTGGACAGTGTTGATTATTTTTTTCCCCAATGATCTTTGCATTAAACAATCTCTGTTAGTTTTCCAGTACTTAATTTACAAGGTAGAAAATTTAAGCTAGGTGTCAAAGACAAGTTTCACATCTATAGGAGTCAAATCACAGTCACTGTGTAGGACTTGAAGAATGATAGAAAAGCACCCCCTGAGAAATTGTTTGAAAGCATATGTTCTTTACAGTTCTTAATGGATTAATATGACAGACTTTTTTGCATTGAAGCTAATGACTAGTCTCTGTTGAATTGTCTTGCTTAATGTGCATTTATTTGATTTCAGCTTTTGTGTGCTAGAGATTTTAACTTGTTGTAGTCTCTTAATTCTCTTCAGTTATACAATTCACGAGGTACACATTCCTATTAAGTAATCCCTTCACACTCTCAACTTGCACTGTTTCACTAACAGTGTAAAATAATATTTTGTGCAGTTTAATACAAGAATGGGCAAAAAATAGATTGTGGGGTCTTGGGCGATTTTTAACAGATCAACAAGGGTTGCCCAGCTCTACTTGTTTAACATTGGTATCCTTGATTATTAGTAGCTCAGATTTAGATTTGTGAATGTAGGGTATCCCAGTGTGTGGTTCATGGAGTTCAGTATATGCATCTGACTCCAGTTAGAGGATCCTAGGTTTCAGTAAAAACAAAATAGAACCTGCATTGCTGCAGTCCATGGCCTTATATGTAAAATTGCCTCATCAATGAAGGAGGCAACAGTGTGACTGTTCTTATTTAGAGAAGACTATGGATAT